TAAGATAATAATATTTTTTAAAAGTTTGAGCATAGTCTTCAAAAAGACAAATATTACATAGTTCTAATTTAGTCAAAATATAATTTTCATCTGCTTGCAAATTAGTATCTCCTGCAAAATCACATAAATTTTCCTTTATGATTTTTGCAAATTCAGCTAAAATTGTGTCAAGTGTGAGAAAATTTGTCAACAAAGCCGTTTTTGACTTTTTCCAATTTCAAATTTTTTCCACTGTCTTAACCATTGCAACACATCTCCCTGGAGAGTTGCCGCAATATAATCAAGGAATTTTTCCTTTGACCAACTATTTTATAATTTGTAATAATGATGGACAAGGATTGTGCCCAATCTTTAATTGCTTGTTCTTGATTCTTAAATGAAAAATGAGACAAGTCTAAATAAGTACCATTTTGAGCTAACACGTAAGGGGCGCCGCATCGACGCCTGGGTGGGGTGAAAAATGGGCAAAGGTTTCCGCGCTTTTTTGGACGAGCGCGGGTACAGAAGTTAGTCCAAGACTATAGGTTTAGGATAGCCACTTGGAACATAGGAACCTTAACTGGTAAGACGATGGAATTGGTAGATGTTATGATTAGGAGGAGAGTTAGTATAGCTTGCATACAAGAAACTAAGTGGACAGGAGAGAGAGCTAGGGAAATTGAGGATACCGGTTTTAAACTATATTATAGTGGTAAGGATAGACGCAGGAATGGGGTAGGAATCATAATTGTCAAGGGTCTTATGGAAAGTGTAGTGGCGGTCACTAGGAAAGGAGATAGGATTATGCTAGTTAAACTAGTTATTGGAGGAAATATACTGAACATTATTAGCGTATACGCCCCTCAAGTAGGGTTAGATGATCAAACTAAGAGGGATTTTTGGGAACAAATGGATGAGATCTTACAGAAGATACCCGTAGGAGAGAACCTGATTATAGGTGGAGATTTTAATGGCCATGTGGGCATAGATAAACTAGGTTATGAAATGGTGCATGGTGGATACGGTTTTGGTGACAAAAATGAGGCTGGAGAGAGTATCTTAGATTTTGCGTTGGCTTCTAACCTAGTGGTGGGCAATACTATGTATAAGAAGAGGGAGGAGCATTTGATAACCTTTAAGAGTGGATTAGTTAAGAGCCAAATAGATTATTTCTTAATGAGAAAAGTAGACTGCCTAAAATGCAATGATTGTAAGGTGATTCCTGGAGAGAGTCTGGTCTCTCAACATAGGATTTTGGTACTAGATTTATGTTTTAGAGGGCAATACCAAGCTAAAAAGGATGGTGGGCGTCGTAGGACGAGATGGTGGGACCTAAAAGGGGATAAACTAGAAATATTTAAGAATCGAATGAATAAGGAAGGTACTTGGGACTTAGAAGATGATGCTAACACTATGTGGAACTCGACGGCTAATTGTATGAGGAGAATCTCAAGGGAAGTGCTTAGAGAGTCGAAAGGAACGAGACCCAGCTCTAGGGAAACTTGGTGGTGGAGGGAAGAGGTTCAAGCGGTAGTTAAGGCAAAAAAAGAGTGCTTTAAAAAGTGACAGAATGATAGAACTGAGGAAAACCTTAAGAGCTATAGATTGGCTAATAAGGAGGTTAAGAAAGTAGTGAGAGAGACCATGTTGAAAGTATATGATGACCTATACACTAGACTAGATAGTAAGGAGGGAGAAAATAGGATATAAAAAAACTTGCTAAGACACGGGAGAGGAAAACAAGAAATTTTAATCAAGTAAAGTGCATCAAGAGTGATGATTCTAAGGTATTGGTGAAGGATAAAGAGATTAAGGAAAGATGGAAGAGTTATTTTGAGAAACTATTAAATGAGGAACATGGAGGTACGACAATAAGGGAAGAAATAGCTAGTAATATGATAAACCAAGACTATAGGTTCTATCGCAGGATTAGGAACTTTGAAGTGGAAATTGCACTTAAGAAGATGAAATCAAATAAGGCTTTAGGACCCGATGATATCCCTATTGAAGCTTGGAAGTGTTTGGGTAAAAAGGGAGTTGGTTGGTTGACTAAGTTGTTTAGCAAAATTTTGTTGACTAGGAACATGCCAGATGAGTGGAGGAAGAGTATTTTAGTGCCAATCTATAAGAATAAAGGTGATGTCCAGAATTGTAACAACTATAGAGGAATCAAGCTAATGTGTCATATAATGAAAATGTGGAAGAGGGTGATGGAACGCCGATTGCGAGATATAATAGAGGTGTCAGAGAATCAATTTGGGTTTATGCCTGGTAGGTCAACAATGGAAGCGATCTATCTTTTGAGGAGAGTAATAGAAAAGTATAAAGAAAAGAAAATAGACATTCATATGGTGTTTATCGACTAGAGAAAGCATATGACAGAGTGCCCCGGGATATAATATGGTGGGTGTTAGAGAAGAAAGGGATGACAAAAGGTTACATTGACGTGATTAGGGACATGTATGAAGGGGTGGTGACCACTATTAGATCGCCAGCTGGAGAGACAAATGAATTTCCTATCACTGTAGGGTTACACCAAGGATCTACCTTAAGTCCTTATCTTTTTGCTCTAGTTATGGATGAGTTGACGATAAATATTCAGGATGACGTGCCATGGTGCATGCTTTTTGCAGACGATATTGTGCTAGTGGATGAGACTAGAGAAGGAGTTAACACAAAGTTAGAGATTTGGAGAAAAACTCTTAAATCTAAAGGATTCTGGATAAGCAGAACTAAGACAGAATACATGGAGTGTAAATTTAGTAACAGTAACAATGAAAGCAAAGGAGAAGTGAAGATTGAGAACCAAGAATTGCCTAAGAGTGAACATTTTTGTTATTTAGGGTCGATTATCACAACAGCGGGAGAGATTGATGCAGATGTGGCCCATAGGATTAAAGCGGGATGGTGTAAGTGGAGAAGTGCGTCTGGGATATTGTGCGACAAACGAATACCCACTAGACTAAAAGGTAAGTTTTATAGAATGGCTATTAGACCAGGTATGTTGTATGGGACGGAGTGTTGGGCAACCAAGAAACAACATGTAGATAAGATGAGTGTAGCTGAGATGAAGATGCTAAGGTAGATGTGTGGTAAGACTAGACAAGACAGGATTAGGATTGAGTGTATTAGGGAATGGGTAGGAGTAGCACCGATAGAAGATAAGTTGAGAGAGAATCGTTTGAGATGATTTGGTCATATTCAACGGAGACCAACAGAGGCAGTAGTGAAGAGATGCGATACTGTAACGGTAGATGGAAGTGTTAGGGGACGGGGTAGACCTAGATTAACGTTGACTAGCGTTTTAAATAGAGATATGAATCTACTTAATTTAACTAATGAAATGGCCTTTGATAGGGCCGCGTGGAGAAGAATGATTCATGTAACCGACCCCATTTGATGGGACTTAAGGCTTGGTTTGGTTTGGTTTGGTTTGGTTAGATACTTATGATTATTATCCTTTCTAGATATTACTAGCTTAGGTGCAGGATTGGAGGTACTTCTAGTGTTAGTATCATTTTTAACTTCATTTGTTTGAATAAAGTCTAAATTTTCTCCATCTCCCAATGTGCTAAATAATTCGTCATCATCATTAGTCGACATATTAATATCATAATTGAAGTATTGTAAAAGGGTTTCATGCTCTAGATAAGTTTCTCTTATCTGGTCTAGTAGCCTATTTCTTTCATCAATATCTAAATCTGGATCTTTATATAATTTCTCCAATAATCTAACATTTTAACAATATTTTCATATTCAATCCTATTATAGGTATGGGTATGAAGCACCATAATATCTTTTACACCATAAAATAACCTAGGAATGTAATTATCTCACGGACTATTCATTTCATTATTATTTTTGAAGGATATAGTTTCTAATTTTGTCACCAAATTGTTTATTTGGTTTTTTGCTTCTTTGTTTAAGTCAATAATTATTATAGAACCCAAATTATCTATTTTAAATTCTATGGACTCAACTTTAGTTTCTAGATAATTTTGATTTATTTTTTGATTTTTATCTAATTTAGAAAACCAAGAACACATAATATCCGTAATATTATTTAAACTAGAACACACACTATTTATTTTTGCAGACTCTTTAATAATATGCAAATTATGGTCATATTTATTATTACCATTATTTTTTGTATTTCCAAAACATATTATATCTTCAGGGTTAATTGTCATTATAGATTGTTATTGGTACCCAAAACCCTCCTAGTGTATTTATCAAGTGCCTAAAACCTCTCTTTATGATCTTAAAGACTTACTTATGGCCAATAATCAAAAGATTTTAATGAGTATATGAGTTTTGACATGCACTAAGCATATATGTTTTACAACAACTATAAATGAAACAAATAATTATGAAGATATAAAATATAAAGGATATACAACTAAAAACTTTGACGAAATTTTTTTTTTTATATAACAATAAGCACATCATACACTTATATATATCAAAATTTATACATACATAAAAATACTTACATAGTTTAATCTTGTTTTCAAAAGCTCTTCATCAAACTCTGATATTAACTACAAAGAAAAAAAAAAAAAAAAAAAAAAAAGAAAGAAACTTTTTACTATTTTTATTATGAAATTATGGAATATGAAATTATAATTGAAAAGTTAAAGACGAAGTTAGAAGCACAAGGATAAAGAGAATTTACATTATATATTCTATTGGCTTCAAAATCAATTTATAGACTACAATTTGCATATACAAACAAAAAAATCATCAAACCTATCCATAGACTTTTTTGATTTTCCAAAAGCTAAAAGAGAAAAAATCTAACCTAATAAATACATTAGATATAAAAGTCTAAGCAGCAATAATGACACAGACTTTTGTAGTTCATATCTTCTACATTTTTTTACGAGTTAAATTGTTTAAATTAAAACTATAAAGATCAAAATAAAATTTGAGTAAAACTATAAAAGCAAAAAGTGTAATTAATCCAAAAACTTAAATAAATAAATCTAAAAAAGAGAAGAGTAATTTTAACAATACTTAAATGGCATGGTATGAAACGGCATTGGCATGGATAAGTAATACAGTATTGTTACAATGCTACTAATTTACATTAAATTTTTTGTGAATAAATACATATCCCTTATGAGAAACACGAGTTTGTAGCAATATATTCTTTGTAACAACCGCCTTACAACATATGCCAATCTTGAGCTGAAAATTCAAAAATTTCCAACAAGAACGCAAGAGTTTTTACAGAGCAACTGGTCTCAACTGAGCTTGAGCGCCCTAGAAGGCTCGATATCTCAGCCGAAGTGGCGCTCACCTGGCACACCTATAAACTACTATCACAGTCAAATTTAGCACTAAAATACAAGAGAGCAAAGGAGAGAGGCTTACACTATATTAACAAGGATATATGAGCTCAATGCACTTCTACATGCCCTAAGAGGCCCGGTTAAAAACTCGGCACCTCAAAGTAGTTGCAGCAAATTTCAACGTTACATATCATTTGCACATACCTTCACTCAGTCATAAATGGCTCGGGCGCCTTTTCCCGGCGTCTGTTCTCAATCGCTTTACGGGTTTTGCCCAACCCACCATCCCACTACCACTGTTCACCGGTTGAGGAGGTGGGTTAGCCCACCCTTGTTGATGGGTAGACTGTTGACTCAATCTTGTCTCCTTTGGGATTGAACCGGGACCCGGACTTCTAGTGCTACGGCCAATGGTAGGGGGTGATACGGGCCCACCTGGTCCGTTCCCGGGCTTCACCGCTGACTTTTCCCGGTCTTTTCTCTTCTTTTTGCAGATAACAAGCTCCCCCGGATGAGTTAACAATCGAGGATCATCCTGCTGACCCTGCTCCCTCGTGCTGCTGCTGCTTCCAATCCTCGAACGGGCTTCACCGCTGGAAATGGGCCCTCGAGACGGTGGCTTCTGGGGAGGAGTTGCATCAGGCTCCACCTCGTTTATCATTTTGTGACGCTTGCTTTGGCCTGCAACTGCCTGTCTTGAAGGAGGAGCAGAGGTAGAGGTAGCTACTGGGCCAGAGAAAGAGAGGGCATTTCTAGCTTCTCGAAAATCCGTGTCCGGGAATGCAATCTTTAAGATATCAAAAAACAGATCGTGCACCTTCCTTGCTTCAGATCTCACCTGTTCATCATAATTGTAAAGTTCTTTCAAAAACTTAAAATATCTCACAAAATTGAGAGAGAGGAATGCAACTCTTGTGACTTTCTTTCTTGGGTAAACTGGGGAGTTGGTGCTAAAATCAGTCTTAGCAGAGAAATCTGGAAGTTACATATATTGACATAAGGGGAAAAAAAACACAAAAAACAACAACTAGGTAAATTGGTCAATTTAGATTCAAGAGGAAAATGACTGGTTTGAAACACAACTTTAGGGAAGATATACTTCAAGTTAAAACTTTTCTCGGTTATAGTGCTAAACTGCACATTTTCCTAGAAAATGCGCGGTTTTCCTTCACACAATGGGGGGAAACAAAGGAAATTTTGGTATCTAAAATTTGAATTTTACAACTTGTTAAAATATACAAACTAGAAACACTTTAGCTGCTGAAATCTCAGATTTCACTTCACTCATGAGGATATTCTTAATGATTTATACAAATGCCACTCTGGAGCTTAGTTGCATAAGGCGTGGATGGGGACAGAGGAGCGAAGGCACATAGAAGAGTCTAAAGTTGGGAGCGCCTGGGAGTGCCAATGTATTTTATATATAAATTATATTGTAAGCAATATTATTGTTACTTGGTTGCAATATTTATGTTAAATGTCTGCATTATTCTAGTATGAGTAAATTCTCATTACAATGGTAACAATTCATCACCAATAACATTTTTTTGAACTCCTCAACCCTCACAAACCCAAATTGAAATATCTACAGAAAAATCTTAATCTTTTAATTCCCAAGTCAAAAGCCAAAATCTAAGATTAAAATTTGTTCTCTACAGAATTAAATTTGCCTTAGTAGCTTTCATTTTATTTCTTTTGAGGTTCATATCATATGTTCGAGTGGTCCCATCCTTATTGGAACAGGAACAAGGTTCAGACAAGATCCTCACTCTAATCGCATAATCACAGTTCTAAAGTAAAAACATCACTTCCAATAAGTGTTTTCTATGACTAAGCTCCAGAGGTTTACTTTCTTAAAAAAAAAAAAAGAAGCTCCAGAGGTTTCAGTATATGCACATCAAATTAAATGCCTAAGCAAAAGCACATTTCATGCATTTATTTTCTCCAACAAGGCATATAAATTAACCCATTACAAAAATGACTACTAAAAGTCATTCTTCTTTGATTTTTTCCCACCCACATCCTTAAAAACGTTATGAAGGAAAGAAGCAAATAATCTTAAGCAATGAAGTGTAAATTAACAAAAGCAACCATACCTCATGCGAGAATCCAAAATACTGCATTGCACTCTTCAACATAAACTGCACATCAAACACAAGCTCGATCACTCCATTATACTCAAACCTCTCAACACGCTGATCAATCTTTCGCAAATCCAAAAGACTATTTGCAGCTCCACTCAGGTGACCAGAATTTTCAATCCTCTTCCACAAATCTGTAAGCAGAGGAACAATTTGAGGACCTTCCTTATCTATTCTCCTCCGGAGCTTGCTAATTACATTCTTGCACTGCAAAAGTAAATAATTTCATGTTATTTCATGATAATCTTTTGCAGCCAATAGAAACAAAAAATGAAAAGGGAAGATAAAAGGAAAGGAAAGAAGCTAAAGGGAAGAAGTTCTGATATGCAAGTTACAACACTACCAAAATGTATCCCAACCCCTTTTTTAAAACTATGCTTAGAAGTTAGAATATAACACACTATCATCAATACAGTACTGAGTACACAGTCAAGTTACTACAATTCAAGTTGTGTCATAAAAAGCTGTATTATGAAAGACAACATTCAAGCTTATTTTTATATAAATATGAAAACATAGTACCCAGTACATACTTTTTGGAAAAACAGTGATGCCTATAGAGATAACATGGTACAACCCAATGTTTTGGAAAATGCATTCCGAAATCATTACAAAACAGTGAATTTAACAATCACAATTTTCCCCCCATAAGTTTTATTAAATTTTTCCATTAAGGCAAAAAAATAAAATATAATTAACAAAAATCTAGAGAGTAGAGTTATTGCATGACAATGTAAAAAAGTGGGCCATTATGCTTCTAGAATTTTGTGTTAAAAGATTAATTTGAAGAATACTAAACTATATTTTATTAGATGTCTAATTATTAAAAGAAAATTGCTTTCATATTTAATAGTACCTTACATTCTAGTATTGTGAGCTACCCAGCGGTACCCCTATCATCATGTGATATACCACATTTTGTTCCCGTTTCTAGTACCAAAACGATCCGCATTAAAGGTATCATAACAAAAAATTAGTATGTGCCCATCATTAGTCACTTTCAAATCCAGAACAACACCACAATATAAGGGTAGGGAGTCTAGTAATACATACCCTTCTTTGAATGACATCAGACATCTTGCTGACACCAATTGAAGTTCCACTAGTGTTCAAAACTTTACCATCCCAATTTTCCCTAGAGTGTTCGGCGGCATCTTCCAAGGGAGCAGGTGCAGAATTCAATCTGCCAGATTTCAAAGAAGCATGTACCTTTGATGTATTTGCAATTCTCCTTGACGGTAAATTTTGCCTACTTTTCGAGGATGAATCACTTTGATCATGCTTTAAGGCATTGGACTCTGCAAGCTTTTTGGGTTCAGAGTCATTCCTCAACTGTGGTTCATATTTATGGCCCACTTGGAATGGCAACTGAGATAAGTCTCCACGATGGAGAGATGGCTTTTCATTGGGGTACTTCTCTTCTGACCTTTCTGCAGTATAACGTGGCCGAAGCCGAATACTACGTTTTCGTTTTATTTTGGGTTGCAAAACCTGTTCATCTTCTCCTTCTTCACGATCTTGAATCCAACTTCCTGACTGCTGGAGGTCCACATGAGAATCTCCAGACATAGCTATTTCACCTTCCTCTAATTCATCAGTCTGGCATAATTTGTCGCAAGAAAAATTAATCAGCTAGCAAAAACTGACTTCAACAATAAAGCATTAATATAGAATGAGATTAAATATACCAGTCTTTTCGAAAGAGAACTTGGCCTGGCATCTAATGCCGAAAGTGACCCAAACTTCTGAGACGATATAGAAGGCGAGGCCACCCTCTGTGTCAATCTTTGACCGTCTGCGGATGATCCTGATGAACCAGCTTCTTCAACAGTATGATTTTGTCTAGTGCTTTCAGCAGCCCTGGCATACTCATACCCAACAGCACCAACTGGACCATCTTCTTCTGACTGATCTTTACTTGCTGGAAGTGCCTCAACAGCGCCAATAAATTCTTCCTCTTCAAACTCATTAATCTCTCCCTCTTCTTCCTGGGCTGAATACCCATTCCTCTCTTCAGAACTAGCTTCAGAGAACTCCCCATTTTCGTCATCCACCTCCGTGTAAATAGGGAATTTTTTCCCCTTAGGTCGTCCCCTCTTTTTCTCAGTTAAATCAGAAGCCATTTCACCTGATTCAACACCAATACTGCCACCTAGCAAGGTGTTCTTTGATGGCTTTTTTGATAGATTAGCAATAGTAGCATTTACTTCTCTTGTACCGGCTCGAAGCCATTTAGGCACCTGGTCATACTTCATCATCTCCTCTGTCCAGTCAAGTTCTTCATCCATTTGATCAAAGAGCTCTACTTCTTCTTCACTTCTAGCAATCATGCGATTTACCTGTTGCAGTGAGGGGACATCATGGACTGTTTCTTGATATCTTTCCTCGTCATGCAACAATGTCTCTAGGGTCAAACGCCTCTCTTCATGTGTTGTCCTCTGGTCAAAACGTCCAGCATTAATAACCTCATCAGCCATATCAATCTTATACTGTTGGATGTTCTTCCGTATGAGGCTCTCAATAGATCCCATATATCGATCCTTACCCGCAAGATCATCCTCTGAATCAACTACCCCACCACTTTTAAATTCATCCTCTTTCTGATGGCTTGAGATTTTATCAACCACTGCTTCCATATAGATAACTTTCACTTCTCTTTTCTGTCCGATGCGGTGGGCTCTAGCAACTGCTTGTTCCTCATTTTTTGGGTTCGGATCAGGATCATATATGATGACAGTGTCAGCAGTCTGAAGATTTAAACCCCGTCCAGCAGCACGAATGCTAAGCAAGAAGATAAAGCAGTCAGTGTCGGGGCTATTAAATTCCACAATAGCCGATTCACGGTCTTCTAAGCTAGTTGTTCCATCAATTCTTCTGTACACAAGTCGCCGCCACTGCAGATATTCCTCCAACAAGTCAAGAAGTTTTGTCATTGTACTAAAGAGCAATACTCTGTGTCCTGTTCTCTGAAGCTTTATGAGAATCCTATCCAGAACCCACAATTTCCCACACGATCTAACAAGAAAATCCTTGGACAAATCATTAAAATAAGGGTAATTAAGCAAGGGATGATTGCAAGTTTTCCGGAGCTCCATGCATCTATTATTCAGAGGTTTATATGTTTTAGCCTGGTAAATAGAACTTTTTTGAACCTTGCGCTTCTCATCTTCTGGATCCACTCGAATAGTACCGGTATATTTAATCCAATCATAAATGGCACCCTGAATAGCTGACATCCTACATCTTAAAACAATGGAAACCTACAACCAAATAGTGCAGTTAGAAACAATCCAACATTAAATGACTTGATCAAATACAACTGTTATGATAGCATACCTTGGGTGGAAGTGAGCCTTCCACATCTTCAACACGACGTCGGAGCATAAAAGGCTCCAAAATTTGATGAAGCCGGTGGATAATGATAACTTTCTTCTCAGTCTCAAGCCAGTCATCTTCTGCATTATGTGTGGGAGCTTCTTTTTGAAAGGGTTTCGAAAACCAATCATGAAATGCTTTGCGGTTATCAAAAACTTCAGGAAGGAGTAGATTTAGAAGTGACCAGAGTTCTTTGAGATCATTCTGCAAAGAAAAAAAACAACAGAATTAACTAGATGGTTTTATTTGGTCTGTCAGTCGTAGTTTTATGCTCAAGTTCTCAATATTGAGAATATGTTTCTTGTTATCAAATTTAAGTATGCAATAAGTCATATCCAAGAATTATAAATTCACAGACCCATTAAAAATAATAATTTCATTTGTCCACTTTTTTTGAGAAAATAAACACAATCTTTGAATAAATCGCCGTCCAGTCTCTATTTTAGCAGTAATAAATGTTTCCATATTAGCTTTCTCCAAATTTCAGACAAAATTCAAATCAATCCTAAAATCTTACTTTTCTTTTGGTCATATAATTGAAGGTTTATTAGTAACAAAAGACATAAATGTGACAACAGAGGCATGTGTAGATATCTGTCAGACTGTCACAATCCAACTGCTGCAACTTATGACAATTTCTCCATTTTGGAACAGATTCCTTTAATCAAATTTACTTTGATTGCTAAGATTAGGCTTAGCTCACTTCAATTTTATTGAGCTTAGCCCTTAAGACTTACTTTAGATCAGCACACTTGTGTTACATACAATTTTTAGACATAAATATCAATGCATATATAATCCATCTTATGAACATACAGGAAAACTATCTAAGCATGCTTTGCTAGTCGTCAAATAAAAGTAATTGATTGTCTTCAAGCCAAACCAATTAATGACATCAAAAAGGTCACCTCTAGATTAGCCCCAGGATCAAAGCCCAACTTAGCTCAAACATTCCATCAGATAGTTTTAAGTTTAGGAAGGAAACACAACCCTTTTTTTTTGGATAAGGAATGACAATCAGGCTCAACATGTTAAGGAACTATACCAAATTGCAGGGAAAAACAAGCTTGGGAGGAATGAAGATAACCAAGAAGCCTGCAAACTTATAAAAGCAAAGCTAACTACTAACATTGCAGACTACATGAATTAGTTGGGCTTTTGAAAGAGATATACACGCATATGTTCATGCATACACATTTAAATGGATGCCATGTGACTGCACTGTCTGTGACGCACTCTTAACAAACCTGAAGAGGGGTCCCCGTGAGAAGAAGGCGCCTCTGGCAACGATATCTATCAAGATCTCGAGATAGAACTGATTCCCTGTCCTTCATGCGTTGTGCTTCATCAATTATAATATATTTCCAATCGACTTTTGAAAGCTTTGAACGGTCGTACATGATGAACTCGTAAGTTGTCACAAGTACATTAAATTTCATGGCACAAACCTCCTAGACAAAAGAGGGGCAAAAATCTCAGCAATATGTCAAAATCTCAAAAAAGTAAAAATAAAGGACACTGAACAACTTACTTGAGAAAACAACTTTGACCGTTGATCCTTCACACCAACATAAAAAATGCAGGACGCAGATGGTAACCAATTATGTAACTCACTCTGGAAAATTAAATGTGTCAGTCATATTACAAAACGGGGGAATAATACTCGTAACCGTGAAAGAAAACGTTAACTGACCTTCCAGTTCACCAAAACAGCATTTGGAACAATAATAAGATGTGGGCCATAGTTTCCTTTGAACTCCATCAGATAAGCAATCAAGGCCATCACCTGCACAAGCAAAGAAGACAGTAAAAAAGGTGTATCATTAGGCCTCATATCAGACAATACTTACCACTTTTTAATTATCAAAACTAATAAACCTCACATGTATGATACAACAGCCCAAAGATAAGTTGCTCACAACCAAAAATACAAAATAGGGCCTCATCTTTGTTTTGGAGGGCAGCAGACAGACAAAAATAAAAACCACTACATATGAGAGAGATTCACCTGTACAGTCTTCCCAAGACCCATCTCATCTGCCAAAATTCCATTTAATTTGTTGTTATACAAAGAGAGCATCCACTGCAATCCAACCTGCAAGATCCAGCACAATAATTAACTAAAAAGTCCTACTTGCATCAGAAGAAACAATAAAATAAATTTTTTTTTTAAAAAAAACAAGACTATTAATTATTTTAAATAAATGGAAAAATATATATATATACAACCAAAGTAATTAACCTACAAGTTGATAATCTCGCAAGGTTCCAGCCCGTAGCATTGAAGGCTGCCTTATAACCCTTTCGCTGACAGCATGTGCAAGATTGTAATACCTGGCGACAACTATGAAGAATGAAAATTTGAGGGGGGGGTAATTCTTTTTTTTATTTTCTTTTTTTTAAAAATAAAGATGTGACACAGATCTTCAACCCAAGTTGGAGAAAGTGTTACACGGTCTTGGGTAGAACTCACCCCAAAAGCTAGCTATTAAGGTGAGGGTGCCCTCACGCTTATATGCTTAATATTACTTTAGTACTCAGGCGATGTGGGATTTCGCTTCACACCCTCCCTCACGCCAAGCATGCTTACTCGGCAGCACCTGCGGCGTGTAAGCCAGGGACACGCACCCTACCCATCCTTGAGTACTCTGGCTCTGATACCATGTTACACGGTCTTAGGTAGAACTAACCTCAAAAGCTAGCTATTAAGGTGAGGGTGCCCTCACGCTTATATGCTTAATATTATTTTACTACTCAGCCAATGTGGGATTTCGCTTCACAGGAAGATATACATCGAGAAACACTGGTGAGATTTATTTATTTTTTGATAACCCACTCTGGTGACATATCTAGTCGTGACTACGCAAAATTATTAATACGAAAACAATTCCTGCATACACGACAAACAATTGGCATCTGTAACTAGCACAAAACTCCACACATGGAGCAAACAATTCCACTGACAACATACTCTCATTTTAATCTGCTTCTCAGTATCCTCTGGAATAATGAAATTAAAAGCATCTCATCAGATTAATAGAAAACTCACTTGTTAACAGATGAACTTTCCTTAGGTGCATTCATTTCAGAGAAACGGTTTCTTATCGTTACTTCCTCTCCAGCACAAGCTGCTGCGGCTCTTACTTCTTCTTCAGAGAGACCCTTTTTTCAACAAATCAAAATATAAACAAATTAATCAAAGCACCAACTGCACAAGAGGCTCTGAGAAACTTGACTGGGATGTTAAATTATATGTCTAGGAGGAAAAAAGGGAGGGGGGGAATCACAGAGACAGAGACAGAGAGAATGAATGCCTGAATTCGTGCAGCAGCAGCAGCAGCATTTGCTGCTTCCTCAACCTCCTGCTGATTCTTTGCAGCCGTTATTTTACTTCCCAGTTTATGAAGATACTCTTCTGTCTGCGTTAAAAATGATGAGAGAACGGCATATCTCTCAGCAGCATCACCTGGAATGCTAGTCTGCTGCTCCAGCAACATTTCTCTATACCTCTCAACATCATTATTCTTCAATGCTTCCATCCTTCGATTCCGATCATCATCCTTCCTTTTTGAGAACTCCCTCAGCATTTTCTCATGATATTTTGCAACTCCCCTGTTACGGGCAGTTCGTGCATCACGGATGGCCCAATGAGCCTCAAGAAGCTTCTTACGCCACTGAAAAATGGATTTCAGTTGTTTCTCTCTCACTGCTTTCTGAGAGGCTTGTACTTGCCTAGTGAGCTCCATGCGTTGACGCTCACAAAGTCGAACAAACTTCCGATATGGCCTGTCGGGCATCGCCATTATCTCCTGTTGCTGTTGATCAACTTCATCCCTCAAGCGCGCCTGAAGATCCAAAAGTCGAAGTTTCCTCTCTTCAATTTGCAGCCGCAAAACAAGATCCGGCCTAATCCTTTTCCTCTCCAAGTTCACTGCTAGTAAACCACTGATTTTCCTTAAATTTTCTGCCCTTTTCTTGGTAAGCACTTCCATGCCTTCCTCAAGAAGCAGGTCCTTGACATCATAAGCCAATGTCAAATTATTGTTGTTCATTGTCATCATAGACCCAAATGAGTCGTGTTTACGAGTGAAAAAGGGGAAATCAAATAGTGGTCCATGATACTTCCTGGTAGAGCCAACATCTTTTGGCTGCGGAACATTGTTTGCCTGTATGGGTTTTTTAGCTTGAATTGAATCAGATACAGCAACCTGTGATGCAACTGCCTTGCCCCTATCCATTGTTAAATCGCTTCTAATCGGAGTTTTCTCATTACTACGTTCAACTTCCTGTTCTGATTTAACAGGAAATATAGCAGCTTGCTGCTCTTCCTTTCCAGAAGGAAGCACTGGTATGGGCTCTTTTGTCACACTTGTCATACCTTGTGAATGAACTGTCAAGGCAGTTGCTTTCTCATCTCCTGAAAAAGCTTCCTCTTTTGAATTCTTCAGTCCACTAGATGATGCTACAACCTGCGGATCCTTCTCACTGGACTCTAATTGTCTCGCATGATCTTCTGCATTTTTTCCAGCAGATCTATCCTGATTACTTGTTCCAGCAGGGACAACCACCTGCTGCGGCTGTGTTTCAAGGGGTGGTGGAGCAATAGCTCGAAGTAGTTCTTGTGGAAGAGTTCCATCACCTTTCTGTCAATAAGAAAAAAGAAAGTATCCTCCCATTAGCATTTCAACAGTAAGTCTAACAAGCTTTGTGAGCATGGTTATCAAAATCACATTCCAGGTCATAGAATCGTACGATCCTATGATCCTAAATTGCCAAAACGATCCACATCATTGTAGACCCGGTGTTAAAGCAAGATCGCAAGTAGGATCGTTAGGTTTGTGATTTTCACCTTATTTTTTATATACATCATTCTTATTTTTATTTTTAGCTTATTTTTAATAGAAAGTAGAATCTTATGATTCTTGATTTAATCCACGAGACCCTCTCACTGATCTTAAATAGGATCCGGTTTTAACAAACATGTTGTGATTGAGTACTTAGAACAAGTAATATAAGGTAGCCAACATGCATTAGTGTGTGTGTGTGTGTGTTGTGCGTGTCTGGGAGGCTGGATGGAGCAGGATGGAGTTTGCAAACCTTCAGGCGCCTAAATGCTAGTATTTGTGCTTTAAGAACATGCAGTTGCTGTTTGGTAAACCCCGTACGTGGTTGTTGCATCTGGGCCACCGCTCCACCTCGAGACGAAAAGGGATTTCCCGGACCCCCATCAATAGGTGAAGTTGCAGATTGTAGAGAAGAACGGCTCAATTGCTTGTTATACTGCATTTGCAAATTTTCTGGACCAGTTAACGTGCTTTTTGTGTGGAGTGAATGATCCACACCCTGGTTCAAGTTCACAGATGACTGGGGGGGATGAATCGGAGGCATTCCATTACCAAGCATCATTGTTTGTCTCGGAAGCACCTGGTTCTCTCTGCCATGAGCAGAGAACTGCTGCACCGGAATGTTGTTAGCATTGTTAGCTGTCGTAGCATTCAGAGTCGTGCCAAACTGGCCAGGTGCAACTGTCTGCCTAGCTTTAGTGGCGCCAGACTGCCCAGACACATCGCTCGAAGAATTTTGACGGGGAGAACTCTCAGTTGCAACTTGTGGAGAACCAACTCGCTGCTTTGGCATCGAGACAGGTGAAGAAGACTGTGCAACCATATTGTTTTCATTTGCCTTCTGCTGTGCAAGCATCCTAGACTGCATGAGTGGAATAAGCTGAGCCATCAAGTTGGCGTTTGCAGGAAGTGACAAATCAATATTCCGCTCAAGTGCCAAAGCCTGCATGTGTGCAGCCACTGCAAGCTGGCTATTTGCCATGCTTTGGATGTTTTGCTGAGCCTGTGGTGCTTGCATAGGTCTTACAACATTTCCCTGCATTAATTGGCCCATAGATGTCGACTGGGTTGGAGGCTTTGGATCACTCCTTTGATCGGAGACTGCCTGCTGTGCTTGCTCTGTCTGCTTCTCACCATGAGCAAAACGTTCAGGTGGTTTCTTGGATGATGATGTCTGGGCCTGATTAGCAGCTTGTATGGACATGAGCTCCTGCATCTTCAGATTACCCATCCTTGTCTCCTGATCCTTTCCCGATAGATGCCCCATCATCCCCATTTTTGCTTGGTGCTGAGATTGGATCCCCGGGTTCTGTTGGGTGGCATGGAATGCATATTGGAGGTAAGCCTGCTGCATTGGATTCAGCATTTGTTGCTCAATGCCTTGACTCCTATTTTGGCCGGGATCCCGAATGTGAGCAGCACTATGTTGTTGAGACAAATCAATTAACTTCCTGGACTGTTGAGGCAGTTGCATCATACCAGAAGATGATGCGAAATTGCCCCCTCCCAAGACTCCGTGGAGACCGCCAGCTTGATAGGCTAGAATGGCTTCATTTCCTTCAGGTTTTCTAAGCAATTGTTGTTGCAATGACTACACCAACAACATTCAAGTCTAAACCGTGTGAGCACATAACTTGATGTACAACCCAAAAACATTAACACCAAGTGTTTAAATAATCTAGTAGGAAATCTTACACTCATTGCAATGACAATATATAGATTCCAAATCAATACACAACAATATAATGTAAGGTACATAAAGTAGTGGTAGACAAGAATTGGCTAGAAGTTGGAACAAGTCAAAATTACCAGTTCATAACCACCAAAAGAGTGATCAATTGACAGAGACCTATAAAACAATGAATAGGACTTGACAGAAATTCCAGTTCTAATAGAAGAAGAGTGACCAGCTATCAAGAGTAGAGAAACACCTTCCTACAAAAATAAATAAATAAATAGTAGAGAAACACAACTGGATCGCATCAAAGTACTCTTTTTTGCTCCAATGCATCTTTAATAGAGGCCATAAAAACATGGAAAAACAAGTTTAGAATTCAAGATAACATACTGAACAACTCAAAATGCTAAATAAATAAACATGGCAACTAAGATAAAAGAAATGTATATGATAATGTAAACAAGTATACCTGCAAATAATCTAGCCAAGTGCGATGCAGTTCGAATCTATAGAAGCTCCAATGTTTCTTCAAAATTATTACTTAGCAAGGCTCATCACACAATGTTCAACCACAATTAAACTTTTGATCTTCAACAAACTAACCCCTCTAACCATATAATTAACTCCTTAAGCTCAAATATGAGATATCCCATATGCATTACTGCTAACCTCACCAAATGTTCCAACATCTACTCCTAATCTTCTTTTTTCTTTTTCTTTTTCTTTTTTTTTTTTTGTTGGATAAGCGTCCTAGTGAGAAATATATATATTAACAAGCACAAAACAACAGGAAAAAAGCATGGTAGCCCACTATTATATAAGACAGTGAGGATAAGCCTGTCAAGAACAGGCAAAAAATTAGGAAGCTGGCATGTAAAAATAGATAACAAGTCTTGATAGCATGAGTTAAGCAACCCAGAGTTTATGTTACTATCAATTACCTTTTTCTTCTAAATTATGCTTAGTTTAGCTACTCGAGCAGCTAAATTGATAAGTTGAAATTCACATCAAAATGTTCTAATCAAGTTCACGAATAGACAATTCCAAAAAGTAGCTAACTTGAAATATAGAAAACCAAATTAAACCAAGTGAACAACATATCAATTTATTCACTCCATTAATTACTCAATTCAGTACAACCCGCTATAGAAAACAATTCCAATTTAAAAACCCATTTGTAAATTCAATCAATAAACATGAATTAAACGATTTCTAACAACCCTAACCTGTCTCTGCTGTTGTTGCTGATGCTGTTGCTGTTGTTGCTGCTGCTGCTGCTGCTGTTGTTTTGAATCAAACCCTAAATGCGGTGCCGATACGGCCGACGACGAAGACGACGGCGATGCCGAAGAAGAAGAAGGTCCCATCGCTGCTGTGTTCCGGCCACCATGTCCCTGTTGGGTCCCACCTCCCGATTGCATACAAAATTACTCTGACACAACCCACACAAAACTGGAAAAATTGATTTCTCCAACCGCCTAATCCCTCCAAAATTCACGCGGTTTCTTACAATCCGATGTCGTTTAAAGCCCTTTCGCACTCCGATCCAACGTTCGAATAACGTCTCACTGTCTCTCTCTCCCTCTCTTTCTCTCTCCACTCTCTCTCTCTCTCTCTCTCTCTCTAAAAAGCGATAATTTTGCTGAACATAGAAGTGGGGGCTTGTTTTTGGCTCGACCAATGGAAGATCGATCTTGTGACCGGCGAGCCCCGAAGTTGCCGGAATCGATTGATTCCACTCTCTCTCTCTCTCTCTCTTCTCTCACTCACTCTCTCTCTCTCTCTCTCTCTCTCCACTCTCAATTTCACAAAATTTGCATTACAGTCAAACCCTAAACCGCTATTTTAAGAGTTTTTTTTATTTTTTCATTTTTTCTCACACTATATTGTTATTATACTGCGCATTTCTTGAATTAATTAGGAAAAAGTGTAGAGACTCCTAATCACCACTCTACAATCTCTCCTACAAATACGTGGTGGGGTAATTTAAAGAGTAGAAAAAATATATATATATATATACATATAACTAATAAGAGAGAGAGGGGCCAAAAGGGGATGGGAGGAAAAGGGGATGAATCATTGTTGTTTTAAAAATAAGACCTTTTAAACATTTTTTTTTTTTTTTCTCTCTCTCTCTAGTTAGCTCTTTATGCTGAGGCAATTTTTTTGTGATGATTCCAATGTTACTTGTAACCTCTCATCTCACATATGTCACCTAATTATTAGGTGACTATTGAAAAAGTAATTTTATGTCAATGCTATGTTAGTTTAGAATTACCAAAACTAGTCTTATATCATTTATGCATAAAAAAAAAAAAAATTATAGTAAGTGTTGATTCTTGTTTACATAGAAGAGAAGAAGATGAATGGGGAGTCAAGAATTTACTTGAGAAAAATGTCTAAAGCCCTATTTTTTTCCCACTCCTTTGACCCCCTCTGTCTCTTATTGGTTGGATTTTTTTTTTCTTTTTTTTGTTTCTCTTGTCCTCCAATCACCACCTACCACATGTGTATGAGAATGGTGAGACCTTAGGGCCATGAGTCATAAGTAGTCCATATCAGAACGGCCTCGGGCCCATCATTTACAACAGAAACAAAACGACCTCGGGTCCATATCTCATATGCTATTGTTCAATCATTCCAATTATTCTATCAACACAACTTATATAACATATGTCGTTCACTAGCAAAGTAGATTAAGAATTGAATAAAACATATGAGTACAATATGTGAATAAAGTATGTCGCTATAATACAATTACTCATAGTGATATGGATGAGCAACAGTCCCTTCCTGTACGTGACCTACACATAACATACAACTCACAAGTAAGTCACTTTCTTTTAGCTTTCTCTTTCTATTCAATGTCTAATTCGTTAATTCGTGTTAAATTGTAAGCATTTCAAAAGGATCAAATGTACATATTAATAGTTTTAGAGGGACAAACAGATGTAAGAAAGTTAACAAAAATTTCCCCCCATGGGCCGCACGTACGGAAGTCTCCCATCACACATGTGGGAAGGTGCACCGCACGTGCGGCCCGATAAATTTGTCATTTTAATTTCAAACATCATTTCAACACATTTTTTAATACAACAACTCAAATAAAATCCATCTCATCTTCCAAACACAAAAACTAAAATAGCCTACTAAAATAGCCAAAAAGCCAAAAAGCCTGCTAAAATAGCCACTTCCCAAACGAGGCCTTAGTGTAATTTTTTTGGGAGCTAAAAACTAATAAGAAAGTAAGTGCTAAAGTATTAAGTTAAATTTTGTCGCATATTTAAATATTTTGTCGCATATTTTTAAAAGAAAATAGATTATAAATAATTTTATAAGTTATACCAAATTTGACCTTTAGCCTATCAGTTAAACATACAAATGTTTCTATTTTGGATTAGGTGAAAATTATACAATTTTTATAATAATTGAAGAAGTCAATATGGGTGAGTTGATAAATTAGAAGATAAATTAATATTTGTCAATAATTGTCTTGACATAATTATAATTTTTTTACAACTTTGCTACAGACACCCACTGGGGGTCGACCCCCAGTGAGGTGGCAGCCCCCCATTCGTCCAAATCACAAAAAAAAAAAAAAAAAAAAAACAAATTTTTTTTTTAACCAATGGAAAGCCTCCATTCATGACCCCCAGTGACCACACTGGGAGTCTAAGGCATTTTTCTTTTTTTTAATATTATTTATAACTTCCAAATTCCAATCACTTCATGCTAACTCTGAGGTAAAGACTTCGTAACTGTGGTTAGAAATCATCATATTTGACATTGAAAGTTGTGATATTTACGATGGAGCCCCCAATTCATGTAGTGTTGAAAATCTAAAATGGGAACCAACTTTGAATCGGGAATAAAGTTACAACGTAGGCAACCCTTTTGTACACTCCATGTGCTTCATTCCTTATTCTTCGAGTTGGATTTTTTTCCAAATTTAAACTTAAATATGATTGTCATGTTTGTGAGACTTTTCACGAGTTTTATTTAATGATTCATATTAATTTTTTTTTTTTAACGAGACTCTCATGTATATTATTTATAAAAATAATAATAATAATTTAATAATCGCAACATTTTAATTTTATTGTTTTTGTTTTCTAAAAAATAAACATATTTATTTTTATGAAAATGACCTTATTTGGGGGCCAAAAAAAAACTTCCACAGCTCCCCTTTTGTCTTTTCCTTCCCCTCTCTCTCTTTCTCCAAGGATCACTTTTTTTCTGATCACCTTCGTCTGTTACTTCTCATTCTTTCGCACCATCGTTACTCATTACTTCACCTGATGTGACTTTTTACTAGTAGGATGATGATATTTGTATATGTTATTTGGAGATTATAGTAGACTTGTATGAAAAGAGTTTATTGGGTAGATACTTGCATATGATGTTTGCACAAGGAGAGTTGTCTGTGTTTGTGATTTTAGTACACTTGTCATGAGTATGTCTTAATTCACATGAACACACTATCATAACGGTGATCTTTTTATTTTAATCCCTAGTGTGCATCATTGATAATAACTATAGTTGCAGAAAAGAATAAATGAGGAGCCAAGATTCTTATAAAAAAAAAAAAACACTTGACTAGTTTGGGTTCGTAACCTTTTTAACTCGAGTTATTAAGCCCGTAGGGGTGTCTTTACACCTAATGCCCTAAAACCGTCTGGTTTGGGAGTCATTGGCCCAATGCTCATTACATGGGTTGATTAGAAAGCTTAATGGATCAACGCATTGCATAGTCATTTAAAAAAAAAAAAAAAAAACTTTGAGAATCTTGGCTACAACAAGTTAGTTTTTCTGTATATGTTAGGTGTTATTATGAGTTACACTGGGCTATTATAGTGGATAGTTAACTAATATGGAGATTGCACTTTACACCAAGGGTACTCATGACTTGTCTACTAGCATGCACAAGTATAGGGAACTTTACTTTTGTATTAACTGAATTGTGATTTTGACTCAATATGTTCCTTCGTGCTTGTCCACTGCGCCTTTAATGACTCATGATGTCTCAATATCACACTGTAGTGGCACATAAGTTGATTGTTAGGTGGAGTGGTGTGGTCATTTGTTATTGAGTATATATGAATATGTTAATGTTTGTGGGTATTATTTCTGAAAACCCTCACGAGACTTTACTCGTCCACCTGGGGTAACCTTGTGGTTTAAAGGCTTGTTGCATATGCTCAATGCAACCGTTTTCCCACGAAAGAGGAAGTTGATAGATTTTGTTTTATTTTATTTTATTTTACTTGCTTGAGGACTAGCAAGTGGTAAGTTGGAGGATGTGATTAAGGCCGAAATGTACGTCATTGAGGCCGTTAATTAGAATCTCTTAACTTCACTTGCTGGTCAAACTGTATATTTTATGTGTGTTGAGTGTCAATCAGGTTGTACATCGTTGGAGCATAAAATGAGCAAAAAGACAGAATTTGGGCAGAGTTGACTTTCCCGCACGTGCGTTGACTTTCCCCGCACGTGCGTTGACTTTTTCTCACGTGCGTTGACTTTTTCTGAGAAAGTCAAACTGACGTTTTAAACCTGTTTGGACGAGATTAGAAGTATAAAAAGGCAAGTAAAAGGCTGGATTAGGGTTCTGAAATTGTTTTGACCTAAAGAGAGAGGCTAGGGTTTGAAAAAGAGGAAGAAACAAGAAGCTTCAAAGATGTCTCCCATGGTGGTTCCTTCTCCATCTACCTCCTCCCATTCCTCCATGAGTGGCTAGTCTCCTTTTCTAGGGTTTTGAAGAAACCCTAGCCATGTAATAGGTTTTTCTTTTTTGATTTTATATTATGTAAAGGTTTGAACCATTGTATGGTGTTTTAGAAATTCTTTATATATAATTTTCATTATCTTTTCAAATATTTGACTTTCTGTGATTGTTGAACATTATCCATACATGAGTTTTCTATTCCTTCACATTCAAAGTATGGAACGAACCATGCTACGAGGAACGAGTCGTATCACTACCCTAATTTAGAGTGAACGATTCGTATTACTTAAGATGGTTCGTGCTCATACATTGAATGTGATGATCTTCTTGTTAAATGCTTTGAGTTTGTAGTTGCGAAGCATTAATCCGTTCAAACCATAGCATAATTAATTTCAATTGGAAACCCTAATTATGTGGTTAGTGGTGAATTCTCTATCCTAGGATTTTTCCCTAATTCAGTAAACCCAATTTCATTTATTATTGATAATTTAATTTATTAGTTTAATTTATTCGTTATTAAATTAGGTTATAAACAACAAATCTTTTTATCAAAATTAATTTAGGAATTTGACAATTAAATTAGTTTAATTTCACAATAGTCTCTGTGGATCGATACCTGGACTTGCCATTATTCTGATTGAATTTAGTATAGTTTAGTATTTAATTTTGGTGTGTTCAACGACCCATCAAAATAATTTTGTCACGTTTAATATAAACGAAGACGAAAATTTTTTGTCAAAGAAACTACCAATAGAGACAAAAACAAATTCATCAATAAAAATGATAAATTTGTGACCTTTTTTTTGTCTCCAATACACTCTGTTGGGAACATACTTGTAAGTAATTAGTGACAAAATATTTTGTCATTAAAGGAAGAAATTAGAGACAAAAGTATTTTGCCATAAATATAAGAAATAGAGACGAAATAATTTTGTCATATTTAATATAAACGAACACGAAATTTTTTTGTCAAAGAAGTTACCAATAGAGACAAAAACAAATTCATCATTAAAAATGATGAAATAATGTCAAAAAAAATCGTCACACATTGAGGGTAATAGTAACAAAATGTGACAATATTTTTTGTCGTGACAAATTCATTTAGCGACGAAATAAAGAATTCATGACAAAATTAATCATCCACCTAAGCCAAATAAAAGACGAAAAAACCTTCTTTAGGGATGGAAAATTTTGTCACTAATTCCATAATATTTTTTTCCACATTATATACCTACTTTATCTGAATTTTAGTTCAACAAATATAACACTGTTCCTGTTCAATATAACAATTCCATCACAACTTAACATAACCTGTTATCAACACATTTACGAATTAACAAAATGAAAATATCCATTCATCATTACAAATAATTTCATCATAATACAATAAAATAGTGAAATATCCACAAAATATCCAAAAATTATAACTTATTCAATTCCACCAAACATCCAACAATAACTAGTGCAATTCCACAAAGTATGTGTATCCTTATCAAACAAAAATGAACATTCAAGCAAATTACATCATTGTTGCATGTCAAAAATGACACCCCAATCCAATCTGCAAAAAAATAAATTAAAAGCTTTAATAATTAATCAATTATACAAAAGATTAAAAACATTAGTAACTCATCAATTTACAATTAGATCAATTATACAATATATCCCTCTAACAGGCTTTTTTCGAGATTATGAGAATAAAAAATTAATTTTAAGGCTAATTCACAAATGGTACATCCCATTAATGTGCCATAAGTTCAACAACTTATATTGGTCCCTCCTAAAGTGTTTCTATTGATTCCTGTACAAATCTGTTGTTGTGTGATAATTTAGCATTTCGACGGCCTTTTTTGAAACTTTAAGCATAAGAGAAAAAATATTTTTTAGACTAATTCACAATTTATACATCCCGTGCACCTGTACAAATTGGATGTCATATGCATGTTTCCATTCCTTCCTAATTCTTCAAACATATATTCTTTTATAAAATTTGTTATATTAAAGTTAATATACTTTACCAAGAAGTATGTCCACTTGTGGATGAGTCCCCTCCACTTCCAAAGTGTCCAGTGAATCCTTTGGTCCTCAAAAAGTTGACAACATCAGCCATTATCTCCCCTTGCTTCTTCCTACCCTCTTCAAGATCTTCTATTTTTTTGTTCTGCATTTGTATTTGTTCCTTCTGTGTCTCTATTTGCATCTCAAGGCGCTTCACATAATCATTTGTTTCAGTATATATGGTAGTGGTCCTCCTAATAGAGGATGAAGATCTCGTGCCAAGTCCCTTCACATAGCCAGACCTTGGCTTTAGGACTTTGGTTGACAGCTCTTTTACAGTCAAAGGGGTTGATCTCGGCTGTGAGAGGTGATCAGCCTGTGTTTATATCATATTTTCCTATCAAATATAAAAAAAATTAAATAATTATTAGAAAATTAAATAAGATTATAACAAATAGTATTCTAAAATTTTGTTAATAAAAATTGCAATATATACTCACGTAATTATACTGAGCTTGAGATGAGATCCACTCATGTGTTTTCTCATTATAGTGAGTTTCCTTATAAAACTCTGCTAGATTAGGTAACATCTTCTTTTCTCGTGCCTAATTCGATAGACCAAATATTCAATAAATAAAGCTAAGAATCTAATATAATTCTGAAAGTGCAATGATACGTACTAGTTTTTCTACTCTAATAAGGATTGACCTAGAACCACACCTATGTTTTGTATACATCCTTTCTCTGTTCGCGATATTGGCCTTTGATTGTTCCTATAAAGAAGAATGACTAATATAACTATGAAATGTATCATTAGTAAGACAAATATGTTGTCCTTTGATTGTTCCTGTAAGGAAGAATGAACTAACATAACAATGAAATGTATCACTAGTAAAACAAATTTAATGCTTGATAATAAAGAAATTGCATTGTTCCTCTATACCATTTTCCTATATATCATTTTAACTTAAAAGATATTTCAAATTATTCACTAGTTTCATTCAATTCTTTGAAAAATAGATTAGACGACTTGTTGAGATTTCATTATAAGATAGTTTTTCTGGGTGAAAAAAGAAAAACGAGTAATTTACACCATTCACAAATAGGGGACATATATGCATGGGCAAGATAGATTGTGAAAAAATCCATTTACATTTCACAAGATATGGAACAATTACTGATACCAAACTCATAACCCTTTCTTTCTTCCATAACTCTATCAAATCTAAAGTTCTGTCTCAATACCCTGTATTAGTTACTCTGCTAGTTCCTTACCATTATCATGAAACTTCAGACCAAACCCAAGAACAAACAGAAAATACAATCATAGAAACTGAAATCTTAGTTCTTTATTCTATGATGTGAAAGATGCACTTTAAGGAGCCATAAATTAATCTCCTATTATGTGAGCCTTCCAATCCATGTTTAATAGTTTCCCTTTCTCATTTTCTCACTTATTTGGTTTTTATTATATTCCACTTACATGCCTAGAAGATAAAGGGAAAAAAATTTCACAGCAAATTGATTTGTTCTTTCTAGTTTTTTTAGAATCTCTCCATATTCTAATCAAATTCTTTGTTCGCTGATATAATAAAAAAGATGAAAATGTTACTAGAAATTCTTTAGTATTCCACTTTTTATCAATAAAATCTATCCACTTGGTAGGATCAACATCCTTCGGTGGGTGGTTTCTTGCATACTCCTCCCCTTTAGCCTCCTTCAGCTCCATGAATTGTTTGTGCAGCCTATAGGTATGGTTACTCAATCTCAGACCAAATTTTGTGTTCATTGCCTTCTCTATATCAACAGGGTCTCCTTGTAAATCAAATTGATCCTGCAAGAAATAGATAAGTCATACATAATTCTTATAAAAAATAAAATAATTACAATAAATAATTAAGATTTCTAACCTATTATAAAAATGAGTAAAATGCCCTATAATAGAGTAGACAACAAACTTACATTCAAGCGTTGAAACATTGCCCCCTTAACGAAGGCATCAACATACTTCCACCTACGAACACTTGGATCTGGTAAACGAGTTCGCACTTCTACACCAATCATTGAGGCTAGTTTTGAGGCATAGTCCCCTACCGGTGCACGAAATTCTGGAGGGATAGGCACGTTAAGCTTTCCATCTCTATCAACAAGGCCTTGAACCTCTTTGCCTCGAGTCGGGCCACGAACACGCTTAGTAACTGATATTGTGAAGCCATAATGTTGAAATAGTATGTGAACAAATTTAATTAAGATCTCAAATCAATGTAAATGAAGAGTGTGTCTTACCAATAGTATTACCATCAGTCACCTTAAGTTGAGGCTCCACATTGAGAGGTGGTGGCGGATGGCTAGCCACCTCAGGACATGAAGAGGTATCCCCCTCTTCTGATACGTGGGTCAATGCCTCAAGATGAGATTGTGAACGGGCTCTCGATGGTATCTCTAACAGTTGAATAACATAATAAAATATGAATACATGTACAAAGATATACATGCCCATGTGTGTATGAATTGAAAGTAACAAGAAAGAATATATTTCACAATGCATAATTGTATAGTACCTCATGCTCAAACGAAACATAGGATTCAGTGTCACTGCCCTCTGACGGTTGATAATCATCGTCATTTTCCTCAACTGGTATTTGTTTTTCCTTCCTCAATTTCTTATGTTGAACCGCAACCTTCAAACAAGTTGTTATATTCTTTACTCCTAGAGCATTCATTCTCTCACAGTTTTTATTAATTGTCTTCATTCTTTGTTTCTCATAGTTCGTTACTTTCTTAGTTGCAGTACTTGGTTTGGTCAACTGTTTTTTTGTAGTGTCCATTTTGTCCAACTATAAAGCATGATTGAACATTTTTTTGGTGGATAAACATAATTGAACATTAGATGTAAAGAAAAGATAATTATATATTTCTATACATAAAACATAAAGCAACAACAATCTCAACAAGTGGATATGTCATATTGGCTCTAAATCATTGAAATATGGCTAGAGTGAGATGGATGATTTTTGTTTTTACCTTTTACATATCATAGAACAAATTAATTATAAAGCCATCAGATACATAATTAGATATACTATTTTCTTATCATGAACCAACTCATAATTGAATTAAATTGTTAATTAGTTCATTCTATTTTGATAGTTCATTCTAGGGCGGCGTCCAATTTAAAATAGTTCATTCCTTTTTTAGTGAATTATTTTGTTCTTAATTTATATCTAATTTCTTAAAAGATATTATTAATTGAAACAAATCAAAATATTGTAAAAAATTAAAAGACAAAATTAATATAATTAGAATTATAATTAAGATCAAATTAATATAACAAATAAATTATAGAGATCACAAGTATAATTTGATTATAGAGATCACAAGTATAATTTGATGCTTTGAATAGTTTTTCACACTACAAAGGATATATGTATCCATAGAATTTATTATATTTAGGATTTCCATCATTTTTTTTAATATAATATTTATGATCTTTAATATCACAAAGTAAAAAATAATAATTACAAAGTGGATCCCAATTCATTGGGAGAAAAAAATGATTAGTTTAATTAAAATTTGGAAATTATTAATTGTGACTCTTTTTTTTATTTTATTTATAATTGTACTTCAAATTTTATCATTTAATTATTATCATAAATATTATTATGTTTAAATTTTTATATTAAATGTAAAATATAGAGTGTCTGTAGTAAACTACCACAGAACCAACTCATATTTGAGTGTCTGTAGTGTCTGTGAAATAGTTCAACTCATATTTGAGTGTCTGTAGTAAATTTTTATATTAATTCTAGTTCATTATTTTCTTATCATGAACCAACTCATATTTGAACTATTTCAAATTCATTATCTATTTTGATATTATATTAAATTGTTAATTGCTAACTCATTCAAAAGATTAAACTATTAAAAAGACAAACACTTTATTAGTTATATTATTTTCTTATCATGAACCAACTCATAATTGACTTGTTTGGTTTTAATAAATTTGAGCTCATATCAAAATTGAACTAACACAAACTAGCAGTAGCAGAAGCAGCCCAGAAAACCTTATTAGCACAAACCAATCAAGAGCAACCAAGGAAAAAAAAGAAAAAAAGAAGCAGGCACAATACTTCATGTTATTAGGCTCTCTCTCTTTCTTAGTTGATCCTTAAATAAATTCTAATTTATCTCAAGTATACAATCAAATTATTAAAATATTTTTAAACATAGAATTCATTATCTATTTTGATATTATATTAAATTGTTAATTACCAACTCATTCAACAGATTAAACTATTAAAAAGACAAACACCTTATTAGTTATATTATATTCTTATCATGAACCAACTCATAATTGAATTGTTTGGTTTTAATAAATTTGAGCTCATATCAAAATTGAGCTAACACAAACTAGTAATAGCAGAAGCAACCCAAAAAAAACTTATTAGCACAAACCAATCAAGAGCAACCAAGGAAAAAAAGAAAAAAAGAAGCAGGCACAATACTTCATGCTATTAGGCTCTCTCTCTCTCTTTCTTAGTTGATCCGTAAATAAATTGTAATTTATCTCAAGTATACAATCAAATTATTAAAATATTTTCAAACATAGGATTCATTATCTATTTTGATACTATATTAAATTGTTAATAACCAACTCATTCAACAGATTAAACTATTAAAAAGACAAACACCTTATTAGTTATATTATATTCTTATCATGAACCAACTCATAATTGAATTGTTTGGTTTTAATAAATTTGAGCTCATATCAAAATTGAGCTAACACAAACTAGCAGTAGCAGAAGCAGCCCAGAAAAAAACTTATTAGCACAAACCAATCAAGAGCAACCAAGGAAATAAAGAAAAAAAGAAGCAGGCACAATACTTCATGTTATTAGGCTCTCTCTCTCTCTTTCTTAGTTGATCCGTAAATAAATTGTAATTTATCTCAAGTATACAATCAAATTATTAAAATATTTTTAAACATAGAATTCATTATCTATTTTGATATTATATTAAATTGTTAATAACCAACTCATTCAACAGATTAAACTATTAAAAAGACAAACACCTTATTAGTTATATTATATTCTTATCATGAACCAACTCATAATTGAATTGTTTGGTTTTAATAAATTTGAGCTCATATCAAAATTGAGCTAACACAAACTAGCAGTAGCAGAAGTAGCCCAGAAAACCTTATGAGCACAAACCAATCAAGAGCAACCAAGGAAAAAAGAAGAAAAAAACAACACCAATACAGCAGCAGGGGCACAACAACATTATAGCCACATTACAAAAACAAACTCCCCTGTGACACAGCATCCAACAACTCCAGTGGCAGACAGACCCCAACAACAGCCAAAATCAAAGAGGGCAAGAGGTTCAAAATCCACCATCGCAGATTATATACCAGGTCATATGTAAAAAAGATTCAAATCAGAATTTTCATATTAGCAGCCAAGTGACACATGCATGGTATGGCTTAAATTTGGAAGAAACCCCAATTGGCTTACAACTTTTAACAAACACATCACATTCACACAATTTGATGGAGCATTCTTGGCTTAAGAGAGGGAAGGAAAGTGGGTTTGTTTGTGTGCCTAGGATGGAAATAGAACTATTCCAGCCAAGGAAAAAAAATTACCTAATGCAATGATACAAGATAAAGAATAATAACAATTCATATCACACCCAAAAGCAACAAATATAAGAAGACACCCAAACATGCCTTTATTATTCATCTATCTCTCTCTTAGCAAACACCCATTGCAATTATAATTCCCACATTGCAGAAGAACACCATAAACCCAGTAAGTTCACTGAATGAGATAACAACTGACTAACTCCAATTCCAATTCATCCAGGAAAAAAAAAAGTAAATAAATAAAGATAGAGAAGCTCCAACAAATAGTGACAGAAAGAGACAGAGTACAGAATAACCTATGAATTATTTTTTTTTTATGCGATTTCACTTTTAGTCGTGTTTTAACTTGGGAGCTTCGTGATTTATCCAAAAATTGGGTCTTTAATCTGGGAGTGGTTTGGTTTGAAATTTGTGCTCAGATTTTATTTTATTCACAATGAGAAACCGATAGCTTAGTTTATTTAACAAAGAATAGAGAAAATCCAAGCACTTTAGACCCATTAGAACAACATACGAACAACAGAAACAAAATGAAAATATCAGAGAAAAAACCTAGGGTTCATAATGGGAGGGAAGAAAGGGAAGGAAAAAAAGATACATGTGTACCGTGAGAGTCCTTTCCAATCAGATTATGGAAGAATGCTTCAGCAAAGAGCTGGTCCCTCTACCGTGGGTTGCAACAGTAGGCAAACCAGAGAAAGAGCCGTGGTAACAAACGAGATAGATGAAATTTGATGGTCCTGAATATCCACAACCCTTCAACTTCTCAGCCAAATTGTCTTTAGATATGTTCTTTGTAAGGAAGTTTTTATTGCCTATAATAGGCCCAATTTTTTATTTTTTTTTAAGACAAAATAATTTGTCACCAATCATTTTGGGCGCCTATTTTTTGCATTTGGCGCAAAATATTTGACTTCTTTTTATGACAAAAACATTTCCTCACCAAATTAAAATTTTCGTCTCCAAAAGAAATCCCTTCTATTGATTTTTATGACAAAATTAAAAGGGTTCATTTGGCTTATTTTTTGAAAACGATTTTTAAATTAATTGCAAGTCTTAGTATTTTTTTATTTTATATTTTAGTCACTTTTTTTTAAAAAAAAAATTAGTTGTACATCTAAAAAGTAAAAAATAAAAAAATAACTAAAATATGAAAAAAATTTAACAAAGACAAACGAAAATTCATTTAAAAATAATATATGAGAATTTAAATCAAAAAAAATTTAAAGTTCAAAAACTAGCCAATAATAATATGAAAAAAAATCAAGTTAAAGTTTTTTTTTATTTTTTTATTTTTAGATACACCTAATTTAAATATACTTAAAACGTAAAATTTTTATGAAAAAACCAAAAATCAATAAAAAAAAATGACAATGTACAATTTATGAAAACATGATAAAAAATTCACTACATACAAAAAAATATAAAATTTTGGACCCTACACTTTCAATTGGCACAATTTTAATCCTTAATTTTATATTTTATGTCAATTTGATCCATTGATAATGTTGTTAGTGTTTTTAATGAAAATAATCACTGAATTGATTGAAATTAACTCACCGAAGTTAGTAAATTTATAATTTTACTGTAAAAAAAACATATTACACATGACATTTATGACACATGGACCAAAATACAGGGGCAATTGCTGCAATTTGCGCTTATCTAAATTAAAGGGATCTAAAAAGTAAAAAAAAAAATTATAATATTTTAAAATGTTCACTAAAAAAATACATATTAAAAATTAAATATTGAAAACTCCATACTAAACAAGGTAATGTTTTCTATTATTTTTTAAGAATAAAATTTTATTATTTTTTTTTTCTTTGTATTTTTTCTCACAAAAAAATAGCCACATTAATTATCTTCTCTTTTTTTTTTTTTTTTAATATTTGATTAACCTTAAGTGGAGAGGTTTTGACCTTCGATTTTTCTGAAATGAGTTTTCTAGATGGAAAGGGTAGAGGTGGTTTAGACAATGAGAAAAAATGCTTGCATGCAAAAGGGGCCTTCACTGTGAGAAAGGATAGTAGATTTGCATAGGGTGCCTTCTTGGATAATAGTTTCAATGCTGGCATGCATGAAGAGCTTAAGTGTGAGACAAATTAAGAGTCAGAGTGTGTCTCTTGGGGTCACGGTTTCAGTGCTCTCAAACACAAAACCACGAGCACTTTAATAAAGAGAAATAATTAGTGATAAAATATTTTTGTCTCCTTAAATACCAGAACAGAGAATTTATTATTGGTGACAAAATATTTTTGTCTTCCACTACTTAACCTTATGAGACGAAAAATATATTCGTAGCGCAATCAATCAGAAGTTATTAGTGACAAAATATTTTCGTCTCCCACTACTTATTCTTCTAGGACAAAAATATATTTGTCACCCATTTAATAGAAAG